AAAACAGGCATTGAAGCCAAATGATTACAGACAACCAAGGCAAAAATATCAACTGGGGATAGTGATGTCTCTACTACTGTGAGGCTGCTGTTTCAGCCAGCAGATATTAGGTTCTCTTAAGGATGGCTGATTGAAAGGAGGATAGTTCTGACTCAGAAGACACATAGCTGAGCCAGGAAGACCTGTAGCCCTTCTGTTGTTTAAACAAGGAATCTTCTAGGGAAGCATTTCCACGGGACTCGTCCTCATGTTAATTATTCGTCTATATTATGGATGCATGTAAAACATCTCATTAGGATTCAAGGGGCTGTAGATTCCCATTTCAGAGAAAGGATGCATGCAGCTGGTGAAGAAACCTAATGTCACTCATCCAGAAAATTACAATGGCTTTAGATAGGTCTGGTTGCTCACCCCTAATACCTCACTTTCACAGGTCACCTCCAGGCACTCTTGGATGGAATTGAATGGGACTTGAAGTGTGCAGATTTGCACCTTTGGACAGCAGTTTCAAATGTTGGGGGAATTCTGGGCATTGTGGTCCAAAACTCCAAATCTGCACACCTCTAAATGGGATCTAGAAAACTAATCAGGATTTACGCCTGGTTTTGGATCTGACATTGGTGTGGTTGCCCTGTAGGATGATTTGTTGAAAGAAATGGACAGTATAAATATAACTTTATTGTTCCTCTTGAATCGCCTCAGGAGCTTCTGCCTTTGAGCATAAACATGGTGCCTCTTCTGGCCAAACTACCTGGTCTGAGGATTGGAATTATTTCTAAATATGTTGATGACAGTGGTTCTGCTGCTTCTTTGATAGGTGGATCCAAGATATGGTAGTATTGGCCCTAGGGATCAAGTGTAGCCCTACTGTTACACAGAGTAAGGTATCTGCCTTCGGCAGGAAGCCCTGAGGTACAGGAAGTGGCAGAACGTTGTGTGTGGCCCACGCAACCTATCTGGTGCCCCCCCAATAGTAGTCTTCCACCTCCAAGTGAAGTAGAGGCAGAAAACAGTGAAATCAGATCCAATGGCCTATCTGGTTGGCTTCTCTAATGGAGGGGTGTCCTGTTGTCTTTTGCCTCAGACATGAAAACGTCTTGGGGCAGATTCGTAGTGTATTATTGCTCTGCCCCTTAACTTTTATGTCTTGGGCATCCACAGGGGTTTCTGGTTCATCCTCCAGGCTGTTCAGTATGAACATGAAACTGCTGTAAGAGGGGTTAGGCTAAGGCACACTGAACTGAGACTCCAGAGCCCAGATGAATCCGACATTCATCTGGGCTCTGGAGGGAAACATTGAGGCATCAGCTCCTTTTCTTGCCAGCAGATAAGGTCCAGGTTAGCCACAAGGTTTCTGGAGGGCAATGGAACAGCAAGCTCACCACGGCCGCTCCTGTGCCAGTCAATGGATGGTGCAAGGGTCTCCTCTGTGTCACAATGTCCTTCTTGGCGTGGCCTTGGACCCCTTGCCCAATGGCAGGGACCAAAGAGTGTGCAGCCCTTCAGCTCTGCAGTCTGGGGCAATGGCCAGTCGAAGCTGGGGTAGCTTTCCTCCTTCCGCAGCACTGGTCTAACTCCTTTCCTTCATGGCACTCCGCGGTGTGTTTATTTTCAGCTGTTTCTGCTCCCGTATAATGCTAGACGTGCGGTTTGAAAGTTCCAGCTGAACTTGGCTGGCTTGCAAAGAAATACCATCCCTACACAGCAGACTCCTATTTAAGGGCTGCCCACAAACACTTGTCTACAACGCCTGGTTTTGGTATTCCGAAGCAGTAGGATTAGGCAGCCGGCAGTAAATGTATAATGCAGACGAACAGTGCAAAACTGTCAGGGTACAATGGTATATTTCAGAGAGAATTTACAGAAGGAGGTGGTTTGGAATGCTCAGTATAGATATGCCAAAACAGAATACTAAACTTTCTATAATGGGCATCATTTTTCTCTTTGTCCACATGTTGACCCCATTTTCTATCCTGGGCCTGATCCAGCCTCTCTTTCCTAGTTGAAGCCTGTAAGGACAGGATGCCCATGAGGGCAGTCCTTTCATTAACTTTCAGGGTTTTCACCCGAGAGCACAGACTGGTGGGAGCCGCCTGATTCCCTCCATCTTGCTTTGAACAAGAATTAAAAGAGACCAGGACATCCAATCCAAAATACACCTGAACACCTCTGGTCGTCCCTTAAGCCTATATTCAGCCCCATCAATAGGGAAAGTAAAGCTCAGGCAACAGATTTTGAATGCCAGCAAGATAAGGAGAATATCTAGATATCTTAGTTCTATGTTGAAAATGTTGTGGGCAAGCCTTCCGAGCTCATCTCTTGTTCTGAAGGGAGAATTTCTTATTTCAGTTACATTTCCCGGAATCCCACAGCCACCCTGACCATGATTAGCATGGTGTTTTGGGAATTATAGTCCCAGCCCCAGCCCCCCACCCAAATTTCCCATCTTTGCTCTGCTTTTCTAATAAAACATTATGTGTTGTCAAGTCAATTCTGCCTTTTGGTGACCCTTCTTTCCAGGATTTCTTGGCTATATAGTACTCAAATGTGGTTTACCTTTTCTCTCTTTTTTTTTCTTTTTGGTGGTCAGGGTGGGAACTGAGTAGGTTTGCTGAAGGCTACACAGGCTGGCTCTTCTCAAACAAGGAACACTGGGGAACCAAACTCCCAATGCCTGGCTCTGCAGCCAGGTGCTCTCTCTCTCTTACTGACACTATTTGATAAGCACAAACTACCCAAAATCAGTTCTCAAGTTAGAATACTTTTACAATTTGGGTGACAAGGCTCTGTCTTTTTTGTTTCGAACAAAAAAACAAAAAACCCCAAAAACCCCACTCATCTGCTGAGTAACCACCAGTCCTTCTTTCTGAAGAATTTAGGACACTTAATCTTCACGTACTGTAAATGATCCAGATCGGGGTTCAGACTGCAGGCAGAAATCCATTTATTTCATAACTCCTCTATCTATCTCCCACCTATTGCTATCTCTAATGAAATACAATAGTCTTTAACCACCTTTCAGGCAGAAGGAGTAGCCAGTTGTCCAAGCAAGAGGAGAGCTCACACTAGAAATCTGAGACGTTAATATGTCTTAATAGTGATACCAACTGGCTAGTATTCTGTTTAGGAAGAAAAAAAGTAAAATTGACTTCACTTCTTAGTGACTGAAAGCGCCAGTCTCGGTCCCAGTTATCTGGGAATGAGTCCCAGTAAAGAGAAAGGGACGATTTATAGCGCAATCCTGTTTCTGCCTACTAGGATGTTCAGTTCACCAGGAAACCAGGACGGTACCGCGATGAAGGAGATGGACGGCGATTCTGGAGACCTAGCTTTTCCTCCTCCTGGAACAAAGAAAGACAACTCGCCCTCCACCTGAGACTGCCCACAGGATCCTTGTGAGGGTAAGTGGGGAGATCAAACAAGCGCGTCACCTTGATTGAGCTCGCTGAAGAAAGAGGGTAAGGTACTAAAGGAACCAAGATATAATTTTCCTGGTTGGGAGCATCTGGCCTTTAACTGTCGGCCCGAAACCAGCTCTTCCAAACTCTGAAGGCGGACAAATAACAGGGGAAGAGCAGAGATGGGGTTATCTTGATCGGGAGAGAGGGAAAGGAAGGACAGCAAGCAGTTGACCCTTACAACTACATATTCAGATAAACCTCTCATGCAAGATTTATATGAGAGATGTAAACAAAATGTGTACAGCTTGATTCAGTGGATGAAGCGGAAAGTATCATAATAAAGGACACCGGCAGGATCGGATCACTTTTATCTGCCCTGCATTCCAATGGGCAAATTCACGGTTTTGAGACTTTCGCTCCATTCGCCTTCCGAAGGAGAACGGCCTAACGGGGATTGTGTCCCGTGCATGGCTCATTTCCTGCTGGCGGCACCCAAAAATCTGCCACCTGGCCCGGCCTGACCGGCACTGCAGCTGGTTTTTATTTTTCCTGCCCGGGAGGGAGAACTCCGGCCAGATGCCCCTTCCCGCCTCCAAGTGCCGCCTGGCCCTGCTCCTTTCTGCGCGGGTTTGCAGGCTTCCTTCGTGGTCCCCCGGGGCACCGGCGGTGAGGAGGGGCAGGGGAAACGGCAAAGAGATGGGCATCCCGGAGGCTTCCCCCGTCCTACTCCTGCGCCAGTCGCCGGAGCCGCCGCCGCCGCCTTTACTCCGAAGTAAGTTCGGCGCGCGGTGCCCCAGGCGGACTTAAACAAGTGGCTGCGACTTGGGAGCGCCGCCGACTCTCTCCTGCCTTCACTTCCTTCTTTCCGCTCCTGCTCTTCCCAGGAGCTGAGAGGCGAGCGGAGCGAGAAAGGCAGCCGTGCCAGCGGAGCCCACCGGAGCCGAGGGGAGGCAGGCCGGCCGGCTGTGTGAGAGAAAAGCTCCGCACGTGGCCTGAAG